CCTAGTATAGACTAAATATTTTACACACAACACATTTTTGTCAAATGATTACTATTTTCTAAGAGACTTTCAGGGAGTCCTGGTGTAGCGCTATAGGATAAAGCACTGGGCAGCAAAGTCAGTTTGAACTGCAAGGTTGGCAGTTCAAACTCACCTGCTGCTGTTTGGAAACCCTATACAGAGTTGCTATGAGATGGAACTGACTCAATGGCACTTAGCATAGTATAAACAGACTTCCATTATAAAACGGATGTTCCTTTAAGCAAGTATTTGGTAATTCAACCATTTTGGAACACTGTGTTATTTAGTTATTTGATAACACAATAATTTCATTCCTGGGCACATACCCACAAATATGAGCACATGTGTAACAATGGCACATATGAAAATATTCATAGCAGCCTTATTAAAATTAAGAACTTTTAATTCCTCAAAAGATTCCTTAAGAAGACTAGGCAGATGCACTAAATTACAAGATACCAAATAAGACAGACACAGATGACAATCCTAGAACCCTGAACTTCAGAAGGTTATAGAAGTGGATTGAATATTTGCTAGGAGATGCTGACCAGGGACAGCTAGAGAGGGAGACTGACTCATGAATGACTGGACAGATGAGGCGTGACCATCTTGAGCCTTTGTGAGCAGCTTTGGCCACAGAAGGTGGCCTGGCAGAGAATAATCACACAGGTGACTGGAAGGTGTTATTTCTTCTTTCTCCCCATACTCCCCTGGTGACCAGAGGTGTGGCCAGCTCTGGGAATTTGAAGCAACATGGCTGGGAGCCACACCAGTGACTTTTTTGGTGTGTCGTTTTGGTAACTGGATTCAGGTGGGCTCAGTTTAGGACTTGCAGAGCCACCAGATTGCATTTAACCAGTAACCATGCCCTCGGTTGCCCTGTAGTCCTAACAGACACTAAAACCAGGTCCATCAAGGGTCTCCAGAATGAGTCCCTGGACATAGATAACACTAAGGCTGGCAGGAACTCTATCTAGGGTCAGGAACTCTAATGTCACATCTCTCCCATACCTACCTCCTGAGATCCCTGACTTACAGGAGCCCCCCAGAATTTTCTCTTATCTGGGTCCAATAGCTGCACTCTTTTTTATTTCTGTTTTTGGGTTTGGTTTTTTTCTTTTGCTGTTTCATTATTTTTGTTTTATAATCCTGTCTCCTCTTTCTATTCCCTTGAATTTTATCCTTTCTAACTCCATTTTTATTTTTCCTCCTTTTCTTCAGTCTCTCATTTCCCCACTTCTTCCCCCCGCCCCCCACCACCCCCACTTTTGATCTTTCTTTACTACTCTGTACTCTCTTTCCCTTTTCAACTTTCCTATCTCTGGTGTGTCTAAGGATTATTATTTTTTCTTTATTTTATTTTCTCTTCGTTGTTGTTAAGTACCGTCAAGTCGATTCCAACCCATAGCAACCCTGTATAGGGTTTCCAAGGAGCAGCTGGAGAGCTTGAACCAACGACCTTGCAGTTCAAACAACTTTACAGTCTGACGCATTAGCCCACAGTACCCTTTTTTCTCATTTTAGTTATTCTGTTTTTTCCGTTTTTGGTTTTGGCCAAACTTTTTATTTAGTATTCTGTAGTTGTTTAACACACATTTAAATGGTCTTAATGGGGGGAGAGGGCAAGGAGAGGATCTTTCAGAATCCCAAGAAAATGCCAGAAAGGCAATATATGGCTAACATTATCCTTTTATTTTGGGTTTACTGAGTGAATAGCACTTTCCTTACTTAAGCATCTGTCTCAGGTTTTGCACACTGAGAACACTGAGATTTCATTTTGAAGACACCCTGAAATCTATGAGTAGCAAACCCAACCACTCTTCTAATATCTAGCTTGTTTATATAGGCAGAATAATTCCTCTCTCCATTTTAGATGGCTAGATGTTTGTGGAAGATCTTAGTATTGCTTGCCCCATTTACTGGGAAAAATCAAATTGGAAGTAGCCTTCAGGGACACTTAAGAGAATTACAACACTAATACACAAGTCAAGTTTTACACATTTAACATTTGCTTGTTGAAAGCAATGTCATAAAATCATAAAATTAAATAAAATTAAACAGATTTTACTTTACTTTTTCCTCACAAGAAACATAAAAATTATGGAGGAGTACTTAACAGGAAATATTTTTTAAAGTAACACAATTTTTCCTTTTAAGAGTCCTTGGGTAGTTATAACAGAATAGGTTCCACTTTTTGTTTCTTTGAGCAGGGATTTTGGTCCAAAGTTTTGTTTGTTTTTAGTATCTGCTTCTGCCTCCCCCTCTATCAGATTGGCTTCCTCCACAGCCATCACCTCTTGGTGCTCCATGGCTTGAACTGCTGTAGGAATCATGTGGAGGAGGGTATTCCCTTTTCATAGGAGGAAGCCCTCTTTCTTGTCTGCCAACCCGATCACGCCCACTTGAGTAGAGATCATTTCGGCTGCTTGAGTAACTGTCATAATTTCCACCATATCCATCTTGTGAACTGCTGTAATCATCATAGTGACTGCATCCACCAAAAGATGGCAGGGGCCCTCGAGTAGGTGAAGTACTATGTGAGTTACCATAGCTCTCATAGGAATCTCTGTAGGAGCCTCCACTTGGATGGTCTGAATAGTCACAATCACAACCATAGCCGCCTCTATCACTATAGCCTCTGGATGGATAGTCATCACATGAACTGGAATGACCATAATCACAATATGTATAATCTCTTGGTAGTGGTGCATAATCTCTTGTATCATGAGAACTTATGTAACCTCTGCTTGTATTTAGTGGAATATCCATCATCTCTTGGTGACAGATACACATCTCTATGAGAGGGCAGGGTTTCCTTTCTTTGTGGGTCTCCATAACTATCTCTTCCACATGATACACGAGCTCTGCTTCCGATACCACTGCTACTGCAAACTGGTCCTGAAGGAGCTGATCTTGGGCCCATCACTTTGTGGTGGTAGTCCTCTTTTTATTGGAAGCAGTCCCCTGGAAGAACTCATGTCAAAAATCATGTAATAGCCACCATCATCTATGTGTCCCCCACGTGAAGGGGGTCCCCTAGTTCCTCTATTGCCTCCTCTTCCATCTCTAAGGCCTCTTGGTTGGCCCCTGCTTCTTGGAGGTGGTGGGGGTTCACGCCTGCCACTTTCAAATGTTGGTTTAGTGGCTTGTTCCACCTTGATAGCTTTCCCATCCAAGGACTTTTCATTCATATCTCTGGCTGCATCTTTGGCATCTGCTGGGCTTTCAAAGGTGACAAAAGCAAATCCTCTAGATTTGTTGGTTTCATAGTCTTTCATCAAGAGTACTTTGACAATTTGTCCATATTTGCCAAATACTGCTACCAGGGCTTTCTTGTTGGTTTCTGTATTGAGCCTTCCAATGAAGAGCTTTCCAGGGCGGTCGGCTTCAACCATTTTTCCCCAGCAGTGAATGTTCATGAAGTGACCACCGTTTCCAGATCCTACTTGGCTTTCCAGAAGGCGATTCCATTGTGACTCAGCACGAGGGCTGACTGCTGAGTTAGAGAAAGGAAGGAGGAAGCCTTTAACACTACTGCATAACCCCTGCTTGCTTTTGATTCTCTTTTCTCATTATTTCACTTTTCATTGTTGGTTACTTTTTTGTTTATTCTGTTTTGTTTCCTGTTGTGTGTGTGGTGGTGGTGGTTGGGGAAGGGATAAGGGGTTCTCCTCTTTCTCACCCTACAAGAAACAGCAACTGTGTCATACAGCCCAGCAACAATCATACCTTCTGTAGCAACACTCATTGGGCAAGAGCCAAAACCCACTCCTATACCACCTGATCAATGATAGACAGCAACCAGTACCAGCCAAACCCACCCTAAACTGAGGTGCATGAACAGCAAATAGAGAACAGTGCATGTACTTTCATCCTCTAACTACACCTAAAGGAGACAGCTGTTGAGAGCCTAAGACCACATCAACAATCATACGTTAAATACAAATAGGAAAACACCACAATGTCTCAGAAACAACTGACAATTTTAGCTCACAGAAAGAAACAAGAGAGAATAGCACAACCAAATGACCACAATGCAGATTCAAAAACTGTTTCTAAGGAAGAAAAGGTAATGGAACTAACTGAAGCAGTATTCAAAATAATGATATTTAGGTACTTTCAAAGGCTTGATAGAAAGATCAAGGAAAGTAAGGTTGTGGTTATGTGCCGTGGAGTTGGTTCTGACTCACAGCGACCCTGTACAGGGTTTCTGAGGCTGTAAATCTTTATGGGATCAGAAAGCCTCATCTTTCTCCCATGGAACA